CAGTCCATCATCTTCAGGTGTGCTAATGCAAATATCTGTCGAGGAGCCGGAAGCAATTGACTCAATGTTTCTGCATTTTTTTTTTAATCTGTTTAAGGTTTAAACGAGTTTATACATTGAAAAGAAAGGTATGTCTAATTCTCTTGGCAAATTTTGTGAATTACTGACAGATTTTTTCTGGATGTGAGATTCCCTCAGAATTGATTGGAAGTTCGTGCTTATGTTCGTGAGAGACGAGTGCATTGTTGTACCGGTGGAATCATAATGACAACAACAGTTTGACCGAATACACAAAACATCCTCTGAGCTACACAGCCCACAAACAAGAGCAGAAAAACAACCTCCAATGAATCTTGTCTCCGTGAACTGAGCTCTGTTTCTCTCTGCCGCTATAATTCAGCAGCTAGAAGACTTCCACTTCAAGAGGCCTTCGGTCAGAGCAGCGTCTGTGTGCCAGGAGGACGCGGTGCGGGCCTGGCTGGATATGGGAGCCTCGGTGCTAGGTGACGGCTTAGAGAAAACCTATAAACATAAGGATTGGCTTCCTGGATTATAAGAAATGCAGGCCAGCTCTAAAGACAAAGAGAGACAGAGAGGTTGAAGTGCAGTGTGTTTCTACTCATCAGGAAGCACATGATGTGGCTTTAAAGATCGTTTTTAATTAGCTGTAACTTTCTATTATGACAAGCTTACTTCCTGCTCTCCAAGCAGAGACTCTGTTTTAACCCCTATTAAAACACAGGAACCAAGATCACAGCCTCAAAAAAAAAACTGTCTTCACTAAAATCCCAATGCATTGATCTACACACTAAATTCAGCAGCATGTGAATTATTTATGCAGGAAGAACAGACCCGGGAGGCTCAGAGAGTGTGATGGTTCACTGTCTCTCCGGCAAACTCTGTGTTGAGCAGTCAACGAGGTCCTCCAGCTTCCAAACGCAGCTTCTCTTTGGTGTGTCACGGCATATAAAGCAACAAAACAGTAGTTCTAAAACTAACTGACTCTGCTCTGTGCCTGTTTCTGACCTTAACAGCTGACCCAGAGTCAGCTTAATTTCATGCAAACTAGAGCAAATTCAAACGAGTGCACATTTTGTATAAGCACAGTTATCTGTATTTACACATAATCATCACATGTATGTGTTTTAGGCACCATTTGACTGTCAGTGATGCTATCTACGTAAAGCTGTCTGCAAAAAGCATACCATGCAAATTCTAAACAAATATACGTCACATAAAGACAACTGTGACAGCCTGCAGGATGCGTTATCTGGTCTCAGCCTGCAGGGACTTATCAGCTGTCAGATATGTTTGGTCACATTCAAGACACTGTGGCAATAAGTGGACATGCAAATAGGCTCATTGTTAGATTTATGAAAATTCTGCTTGAATAGCTCTGTATTATAACTTTATGTTTATTTGATTAGCAAAATGATTTTAAAACGCTGACTAAGTGCCACAATCAAATAGTCATCCAGTGGAAAGCAGTGAGTATAACACTGTTCAGAAAGTGAAAACACAAATAGATTAGGTGTAAATATGTGAATAAAATTCTTAAAATCGAATTAAAGAATGTTTCAAAATCTATAAACACATACTGTAGCTGAACATACTGTTCTGTGTTCTGTTTTAGAAAATGCAACTTAGATGTTTTTTGGGAATTTATTTTAAAGGGTCTTAACACATTTAGGGATTCAAAATTAAACTACACAGAAAAGTGTATTTCTATTTTGTATGACTTGTGCCACATATCGGAACAACTCTTTAAGATGAAACTGTAAGTTATGAGCTCTGAGAAAGAAAATTATACAAAACAACAAGGGGAAAAGATAACAATTTAAATATATTTTAAATGCCAACTTCAAAAGATATGCAAACCAGGACTTGACAAAACCAAAAACATAATTTTTTTTTTTTTTTAAACTGCACTGATATTCTGAATTTGAAGATGTTTCACGTTCCATTTGAGGAGCTTTAGCAAAAACTTTCTGTCATTCGAACATCGTCTGTCCCAGAAGAAAAGGAAAAAGAATAAAAACATCAGAAAAACTCTCCAAACATGTGGATATACTAAATGAGCTTTTTGTCAAGTCAGCGAGAAAAGCTAAAATCACCAGAACCCAAACTGAGCGGAGTGGCGTCAACCTACTTCTCAAGGATAAGGAGCACTCTTCTGAGAACCTAAAGGTTCATATTTTGAACAAAGACAGAAGTTTAGAGACGGGGGGGTGAAGAACGTCATTTAAACCTAATGCGAAAAACAACAAGAAACAGAGGTTGTCTCAGGTTAAAAATTAGGGCCTGTTTGTAGGTGAAACAGGACAAATTTATGTTGTGTTTCTGCTGCTCGTACACGACAACAACAGTCATATTTTCTGACATAGAAACTTTTATTAATCCAGGTCTCTGGGACTGGAGTGAGTGGCAGGTGCATCCTAAGACGTTATATAAATTTTACTAATTCAAATAAGCCTTTTGTTTTTCAGACCATAAATGTTACCAAAATAAATGCTCAGCGCTGATGACATTGTGATGCAAATGAGCTTGAATATTCCGAACAACATAAATTTGGATAGTTTATCAGTGTTCACACTGGATCATGTCAGTTTGATGACAGGTACTGTATATTTTCATTTCAAGAAGTTATTGAACTTTTTTCAACTTGGATATCTGCAAATCTTGCACTTTTTTCTCTTATCTGTACTGTCCCCTGGCAGCTCTTTTTAATAACGCAGCCTCTCCGCTAACTTGAAAATTCAGCTTCCTAAGCATCTTTGTTGCAAATTACACTTCCCCTCTTCAGGTTTAGAAAGGCTGTGCTTTAATCAGACTGAGTAAAATGACAGAAAATAAATATGTGTGTATATGTCATACGTATACATCATACCCTGTGTGTGCGCGCACTCGTAGTACTTCAATAAATCAGCAGGACTGTGTGGAAGCGCTGAGGGGGGTGGACTGTTTGAGCAGCAAGGATGCCTTTCAAAGCTGCCTGCATGTGACATAGAAAGGTGGTGGTGTGTGTGTGTGTGGGGGGGGGGGGGGTGGCTGGAGACGGGTGGAGTGAAGGAATGGCTGAAAACAAAGAGCGAAGAAAAGAAACGGCACAACAGGACAAGGACTGAATGCTGAAACGTGACTGTAGTAAAGAGGATTTGAGCTGGACGAGAGAAAGGAAACCACCGTGCAGTGAACTCTGATGGAATTACTGAGCTTAGTGTGTGTGTGTGTGTGTGTGGGGGGGGGGGGGGGTTACCATGATTACTGACCAATGAGGAGAGGTGAGGGATGTGTCTTGTTCCTCACTTTTTCAGATAAACAAGCTATTTAAAAAAATAATTTATGGTATTTGTCACAATAATGAAAGAAATGTGAACAAAATGTTAACAGAAACCATTAGACAGCATCTATTAAGGTTGTTTGGAGGCAATATACCCTTTAGTTAAGTGAGGCATCTAAAAAAATATATATTTTAGCAAATGAGATCCAGATTTTGGATTTCATTCGGCTGCAGTCAGTCATCTTCTGTAAGAGAAATGCACAAAATAATGAAGTGTTGGGGTCACAAGAGGAGGACCGGACAGAAAATTCAGTTTCCCAGAACAGTGGGAAGGCACACACATGGTGACTGAGTCAGTGGTCGTCATCTCCGACCTAACCATGCAGACGGAGGCCTGACAAACATTCCTTTCTGCTAGAGTCATGACGGCGAACAGAAGCCGGCGTTTCTTGGAACGTCTCCCACTATGGTCAGACAAACCAGGCCAGAAGTGACGTAGATAAGCCTGGGATGCTGCAGTTCTCAAGGAAACACATCTCACATGATTCAGGAGGAAAGCAGTCTGTAGGAACTGACACATGCAAAGGAATTTCCTCAGAGGCGTGAGAGAAAACTTCTCACTTCGGTCCAATTAAACACCCTCACCCTTCAAGTATAACAGACTGAGATGTCCGTCACCTCTTCAGGGGATGAGCATTGAAAAAAAAAAGTCACAAAAAAATCTAGATAGAACTTCACCTAATGAACTGATGTGCATAAAATAAAGAGTATCAGATAAAGGCAGCACCAGAAAAAGGGGATTTAAAAATGTTTAAAACCATTAATTTAACAAACCTTCAGAGAAGTCAAACAAATCAACCTTCTGAATTTATGTTTCTAAATTTAATATGATTTTATATTAGGAGAGTCTTGCTTTACTGACAGATCACAACTAAATGAGTCAGTTAAGCGTCTGTTATAATGAGGAATAAAATCTAGGGGGTTGTTTTAAACTTGATTTCAGACAGCAGACACATTTGGATTTAATTTGAGCCCCTTTTATAATTTAATTGTCACACTATAGCAGATGTTGTGACGGCCACTGGATTAAGAGTCAACCCAGTCTAACTTAAAACAGACTTGGAGCCATGTGGGTGGCTGAATCATGGCTGAGTTTAGAAAGCCGGTCATTCAGAGCTAAATGCAAGGCTGTGGGAAATAGAGGCCCTGCAGCAATGATGGATGCCACAGGACATGCATGCCCAAATATATCCTTATGATAATAATAGAAAAATGAATCAAAACATTTGATTTGTGCTGCATATGTTTCAGTTCCAATAATACCCAGATATGATTTGGGTTTTGTAATTTGGCACAGTAAGTTACGTTAGGTGGGCAACATTTTACAGCTGCCTTAAAAATCAATAAGAAGTGGGCAGATTAAGTCTTGATTGCAAAATTATTTGTCCAAATATACCGCAACAGTACTTACAGGCTCAACAAATTCTTACATGCTTAGAGCCCAACACATTCTCATCGCTATGACGGAATTATGAGAAAAGCAGGTTGGTCCAAACATTCTGCACTTTTAGTCTGTGCAGCTGCAGGAAGAGATGATGGGTTTACAGCCCACAGATTAAAAGAAACAGGGCTCCTTCATTTATACTGTTTCCATAAACTGGTGTCAGGAGGCTGACTGGGAGAAACCAGCTCCAGTGACCAGTTTGTGATCTTTACTTACTTTCTCTTGTATTCGTCCCTCTCTCTCTTGACCTTAGCCAGCACGTTGTACAGAGCTCTCACTTCAGGGGTGATGGTGTCAATCTGGACCCCGACTCCATCAGGGTGCGTCCACGTCACCCCGGGCCCGTGCAGGGTCTCGAAGCGCTCCCCTTGCCTCCGGACGTGCGTGAAGCTCCAGATGGTGCCCGGCAGCCTGGACTCGGGTCCATCCGTCTGCACGGCCACCTCCCGGCCGAACGGGTGCCGGCACTGCGGCCGCTGCAGGGCTTGCTGCAGCTGGCTCTCCAGCAGCTTGTTCCTCCTCTCCAGCTCGTGGACTTTGGCGAGGAAGCAGCGGAAGCGCAGGTTGAGTGTTTTCAGCACATGGATGTTGGAGCCCAGGTCGTTACGCAGAGCGCTGGTCACCGCGCCCGACCCGGTGGGGACGCCGCTGCAGACCGGCCCCGCCAGGGAGTCGGAGAAAAACAGCGAGCTCATGTTTGTAAACAACAACAAAACAACAATCCAGCTATGGCTCTGACTGCTCCGAAGGCAACAACTTGACCTGTTGTTGTTTTATTTATTTATTTATTTTTATCTTCGCATATTCCTTCAAACCTCCTCCCACTGCACGTTTCTCATCACAATGCGGATGCTGAGAACCCCTGAGTGGCAGAGGATGGGGGGGCCATCACTGCTGCTAACATGGGCCCCTGCGGCGGAAAACAACCCCAAAAAGTCCCGTCAGAGGCACGGAGGGCTTCATCTCGAGCTTTGACGCAGAGCGCAATAAAAAGCAGAAGCTCCGGCTGCTGCGCTCCCCCGCACCCTCATGTCTCTGTTTGGGTCAGGAGCTGCTGAAGCTGCTGAAGGTTCAGAATGAGCAGGAAGTCCGTCCACCTTGTCTCTTTATCACCCACCTCTGATTAGTCAAGTCTTTATCCGATCTCCATGTGCGGAGAGGCAGGATGCAGCACCGCAGCCGGCCTCTCGGATCATGTTGCAAAGTGCTAAACTCGGCACTATTCCTTCCATCAACCCCTCCCACATCCTCCCCCACAGGCCTCTCCCCTCTCAGCTTATGCCATTCAATTTGGTTCTGTTAATGTTAAAAAGTAATTCATTCATCTTATTTTAGCATAAAGGCAGTTTAGATTTGGGTTATGCAAAACTTATTTAATTTGGTATAAATGGTCAAATGTGTTACAGATGTAAGAAAATGTCTGCTCAACAGCAAAATAATAACGACAATAAAAATACAGTTTATATCTGCGTTCTGCCTCGGAATTAGACCCAAAACAAAAGAAGAACAAAGAACGTCTGAAACAGCGGCAATATATTCAAAACATGTCAACTTGAACTGAATTACTTTATTAATATCGTCACAAGAACTGTGGGATGTTGTAAATTATCCAGTCTTGAGGTTTGTCATGCGTGCTGTCCTATCCTATAAAACAATAATCCCATTTGGGTGGATCAGAACCTTCACCACATGTAGGCCTATATGTGGGTCTCTCATACCATACCAGCTTTATTTATAGAGCACTTTAAACACCCATAGGATCAAAATGTTGTACCATCAACCCGTTTAAACAGTAAGCATGGTGACACCTGTACCTCTGCCACACAGCGCCACCCATATCACCTTGTCATGTACTGGTAATGATGTTTAGTGTCTGATGACCTTCTTGATTTGGTATTTTTTGTTGTGTTTTTATGTTTTTTATTTAATGTTTTTAATTATTTTTTCAGTATTAGCATTAGTGTGTGTTATTTTTTTTCCCATTTTACTCTCATTCGTGTTATTGTTGCACTTTGGTAGCAGCTGCTGTTTTAAATTTGACTTATAAATAAAGTTGACTTGACTACTGTTTTGACTGACTTTTGGGAGCTCACGCAACTGCCTGATAACACTAATAATGTTTGTTTTTGTTTTATCTTTATTTATACATGATAATCTCATTTAACCTCGAGGGCTCTATTACAAGGGACACCTGGATGTTGACACCATTTATATCCTTTGGTAGCCATTCTTTAAGTGGCAATGGCACATGTTGATGCTTCAGAGATGATAAAAACATCACACTCCTGCTTCCTGAACATTTGTATGCTCTCCTGTAGAAAACAATAAAAACAAAGTTGTTTTCTTTCCCGATCAGCGTTTAGCAGAAGCTGCTACGGAAGCTTACAAGGCACAGTAGGGTCGAAGTGTTTTATACTATCGCCTTAATAAAATAAATTGTAAAATTTAACAATTCGAAAAGAGAACGTACACATAAACAAATTCATTAATAAACACAGTGAAGTAAGCAAAGTGTTATTTATTGATGAGCAAGTCTGCAGGTGTACCGTTTTTTGTTTGTTTGTTTGTTTGTTTGTTTTTTTCTGGGTGCATAACTTTTGTGTCAGTGAATGTAAATTAATTAAAAAAATTAATAAAGAAATTTTAACTGTATTTTACAGTTAAACACTTAAGCAAAATAGTATAAGCACAGACGTATTTGTTAATATCAAGGCCACGGTTTTATTAATTTTATTCAGGCGCAAATGGGACAGCTATACCAAACAGAAACATTTAGGGTCCTATTTCCTTCACGTGTGCGCCTGCTGCTAGCAACCATGCCGAAGTCAAAGAGAGACAAGAAAAGTAAGAAAAACTAACGTTTCAAATTGAGTCATGTACAGCATAAAATATCGGTTTGTTTTTAAATGTCTCTTGTTTATATAATATTTTTGTTGAAGAAATACGACAAAAGATAAACGTAACAAGCTAACGTTAGATTAGCTTAAAACTGCCATCTGCTGTTTTACACCTGCTGAGGTGACAAATCTCCTGATTTTTCCTTCAGTTTCCTTAACTAAAACTGCCAAGAAAGGACTGGAATCAAAACAGAAGTTAATCGAAGAGGTAGGTGTTTTCTGGTGTGCTGCCTCAACACATTTCAGGTTCTTATTAATTTGTTGTGTTTAACTTCTTCTGTAGTTACGGAAATGTGTGGACACCTACAGAAACTTGTTTATATTTTCTGTGGAAAATATGAGGAATAACAAACTTAAGGACATTAGGACAGCATGGAAGCACAGCAGGTATTAACACTTTTGCAATTTGATTTTATGGAAATCTCATATTACACAACTGTTCTTATTTTTATTATAAATATGCATAAACTGAACATAGTTTTTAACAAAAAATATTTTTTAAGTCTGTGTTGGAAAAATTAACAAAAACTTGTGAATTTACAAATACTCGTGCACATTCAGAAATAATTTCAACATATATGCAAACATTTAAAAGTAAAAAAAGAGAGACACTAGGAGTTAATTGAAAATTTATTTTTAAAATATATTTTTCAGACTAGCCTATGTGTTATTTAGTTCCATGTTTTCAATCATGTACTCTTAATGCTCTGTCTTTATTCTGATTTTATTACAGTTTAGTTCATATTGTGTTAAGGTATTTTTATATTTTATTTCTATGAACAGGCCTAATTCTATCAGTGTGTTAAGCACTTTGAGTTATGCATGCAAATTGAAATGTGCTTTATAAATAAAGTTTTGAGTTAGTAGAAGAATAATGTGACACACCAGACCTCCATGAGCATTCCAGAGCGATGTTCACATTAAAACATCGTGGGCACCTTTAGTTTTAATACGACTTTTTGAGTTTATTGATGTATTCACAAGTTTACTTTTAAAGTAATCATTACAAACATTATTTCTAAAATGCTTGAGTAAAATGATTGCTGTAGGTGGAAAGGATTTGCTGTAATTGTCACAGTGCCATATGGCAGGTAACACCACAAGAGTATTTTAGATAACAGGTCACTGGGACAGACCGGGATTTACCTGGCACATACACAATCAGGTGCTTAATTAAAACCAATAAGATCCAGCCAACAGTGGCGACTTAAAAGGGTAATTTAGGACACATAAGGAATAGTCTGACAAGACATTTGTTTTGGTTAAGATCCATATAAAATGTAGGTTTCTACTCAGGAGACTTAATGCGTTTAGTATTTTTAAAGAATGCAGTCTTTGACTAAAAATGACTTATTATCCAACACTGTTTACAAACTTGCCTACTAAAATATTTGTGGTGTGAATATGTAAGTGCTGGTAATGTAACATTTTCATTTTACTACATCTAATGTGCTAAAACAGTGACTTAATTTTGTTTCTGTGCTTCAGGTTCTTCTTTGGCAAAAACAAAGTTATGATTCTTGCTTTGGGGAAAGGTCAAACAGATGAATACAAAGATAATTTGCACAAGGTAAGAAGAGACGTCAAACTTACAAGAACACCCCTCCTAATGTGCTGCAGAGATTTAAGATCTTCATGGTTCTGGTGATCAGGTCAGCAAGTATCTACATGGAGAAGTTGGAGTGCTTTTCACTAATAAAACAAAAGATGAAGTACAAGAGTAAGTAGGGTTATGCCGTTATTGTCATTCTCTAAATTTTGTTCGTCAGCTGATGAAGTGTTGTGCTTCTCCCACAGATTTTTCAACCATTTCAAAGAGATGGATTATGCTCGTGCAGGCAACAAGGCCCAGATGAACATAACGCTGGATGAGGGTCCTCTTGAACAGTTTCCTCACTCAATGGAACCTCAGTTGAGGCAGCTGGGACTTCCTACCGCTCTAAAGAAAGGTAGGAATAAAGCACAGGTCTGCTGATTTGATACAGTATTTAAAATATGCAAAAATCCCTTGGAAACATAAGTTATATTTTCTCACCTTGTCTTTGGTGCCTGGTTACAAGATTCACAGTTTTTATCTGTTAATGCAAATGACAAATGTTCAAGAAGCACAATGAAGGTATAATAATACTTTATTTATAAACCCTTTAAAGCAACCACAGCTGCAACAAAGTGCGGTACACATAAAATCAAGAAAGTTTAAACACATAAAAGAATAAAACAGTTGTTTAAAATATTAAGATCAGTAAAAACTGCAGAGCAAATTTCAGGCTGTGCCAAAAAGCCGGGGAGTAAAAATACATTTTTAAGAGTTTTAAAAATGGACAGTGAAGGGGCTCATCTGATGGGAAGAGGGAGATCGTTCCACAGTCTTGGAGCAGCTACAGAAAAATCTCTGTCCCCTCTGAGCCTCCGTTTGGGCCTCGGTACCTCCAGGAGCTCAGAGAGGTAGGATGGAGCAAGACTATCCATCCATTTTCTTTACCCGCTTATTCCATTTTTGGGTCACGGGGGTCGCTGGTGCCCATGTCCAGCAATCACTGTGCGAGGGGCGGGGTTGGAGCAAGACCATTTAAACTTAAAAAAAAAAAAAAAATCAGAGAGGAGCTTAGATAAGAACAGCCGTCCGGTAATCAATCAATCAATCAACTTTATTTATATAGCACATTTTAAAAACCACAAGGGTAGCCAAAGTGCTGCACAATAAAACAATAAAAACAAACAAGACAATAAAAACATACAAAGCACAAGACAAAGAAACATAAAAACCATTCACATACCAGTTTCACAGCAGGTGTATTAAAAAAGCCATAAAAGTTAAGATCACGTGTTAAAAGCCAAAGAATAAAAGTGTGTCTTTAAAAGAGATTTAAAAACAGGAAGAGAGGAGGCCTGTCTCACACTCAAGGGTAAAGTGTTCCACAACCTGGGAGCAACAACAGCAAACGCTGTCACCTCTGAGCTTCAGCCTAGTTTTAGGGACTGTCAGCAGCAGCTGATCAGCTGATCGTAGGGATCGGGGTGGACAGTAAGGCTGAAGCAGCTCAGACAGATATGGTGGGGCAAGGTTGTTCAGACATTTAAAAACAAACAGCAAAAGCTTAAAATTAATTCTGTAGTGCACAGGGAGCCAATGAAGGGACGCCAGGATGGGAGTAATATGCTCGCGCCTACGAGCCTGAGTTAACAGGCGAGCAGCAGAGTTCTGCACAAGCTGCAGACGAGCAAGAGACGTCTGGCTAATGCTTGCATACAGCGCATTACAGTAGTCAAGACGAGCTGTGATAAAAGCATGGATTAATTTCTCCAAGTCAGGTCTTGCTAGGATTGGTTTCACTTTTGCTATTTGGCGGAGCTGATAAAAACTTTTCTGAGTGGTAAAAGTTCCACAAAAACACTGGAGTCACCAGCTTCGATCTCTGTCACGCAGAGGAATTCCAAATGACGGGAACTAAAAAAGTTCCTCAGGATGAAAGTTTTGTTTGCCAGAGATATGGCATTCACCAGGTACTATTGGCAATGACGTATCGAAGATTCAGGAGAGACTGGCGATTTGTACACAAGCACAAAACAGGAAAAAACAAACCAAGAGCGACAGACGGCCAGTCACACACTGGCGCCATCTTGCCTTTAGCGGTTATGGTAAAGAGTGGGTCTAAAAATTGTTTGATTAAAAACAAAAAAAAAAGTACTTTGTTGCCATAAAACCTAAGACAAGAACAGAGCAACATTTTCCCCCAAATCACTAAATATTCATAAATTACAAGTGTTCTCTAAATGAGCTGTCCTGCAGGTTAGCTGGCTCTGAATAACATGAACTGTTGGTCATACATGCTAGCTGCTTCAAAACAAGGTTTAATAAATCCCTCTCTTCTATAAAGGAGTAACTTACTGGCATAAGTTTGTCTTGACAAGGCCTGTCGCAATAAACAATAAATTAATCGCATGATAAATAAAAATTCTCAACCTCATTTTCATTTATCGGCTTCATCGTTTCTTCATGTCTCTTTCTATGAAGACACTGGATGACAAAAGGCTCAAATCTGGTGCTCTTCACTGATCCCTCCCTTTCTCTTTAAAATCCATTTTAACTGTCCAAAATTGTGTTTTTGGATCGTTAAAAGCAGCTAAGCTATGAGCCAACAGGCTGACCTCGGGGAAAAAACCTCCGTCTTGTCGAAGCTCTAAAATTCCCAGTTGAAACTTGTGCCTTTGTGTAAAAAGTTGTTTTTCTCAGCAAAAAGAATGAGAACTTGTTTACTGATTTTTTTTATTAAAAGCTTTGTGTGACAAATGCTATGCTAAAGAGCTCAAATCACACAGAGTGTCCGCCATTTTGAGAACCAAAGAGAGACAGCCCATGTCAAGGGGCCTCTTTCCCATAGTGGCATGCTACTTGCTCCCTCACTATCCATCCTTCAGTTCAATCTTATACTGCCATCCAGTGGTCGATAAAAGGTACTACACTCCAAACTAAGACATTTCTTCTTAAATTTGACAATAATTACTAATTATTGTTAAATTTCAAACAATATTATTGTTTATCGCAATAATTTCTGAGACAATTAACCGCCCAGCAAAATTTGTTATCATTACAGGCCTAGTCTTGACTGAATCTCACTTTTCTAGATTTATATTCAGCCATAGCTGGTTTATCATTTGAATAATTTATGAGTTTTGACCCTTTTTCACAGGAGTGATAACGCTGCTGAAAGATTATGAAGTCTGCAAAGAAGGCGACGTTCTAACTCCTGAACAGGCTCGGATCCTGGTGAGTTCTTCCACTGAAAACCGGAAACGAGAAGTTTCCCTTTCTTAATGTAAATTATATCAGCTTTTATTTTTCTGGTTCACAGAAACTCTTTGCCATTGAGATGGCAGAATTCAAAGTGCTGATCAAATGTGTGTGGGACTCTGAAACGGGCCAGTTTGAGAACGTGACCGGTGAGGAAGAGCCTGCACCGGATAACGAAGATGACGAGGAAGATGTTGAATAAATCGTCAGCTTTTAACAGTTGGGACTTTTATTTTGAAACCTGCAACTTTTTATAATCTAATACAAACTTGTCCATTTAGAAATTTGTAGTCGGATTGGAGTTATTCAGAAACGCATCTTGTTCTGTGTCCTGCGTTTTGTCAGTTTAATGATACAAACTTCGTGTTCAACACCACCATTTACATCCAAACTACACTCTCAAATGTTATAAAAACATTATGATGAAACAGTTTTATTTGAAAATGCTTTATTTTTTTACATTTATACATGGATTAAAAAAAGATCTACTCAATTCAGTTTATTTATATAGTGCCAAGTCACAACAGAAGTCATCTCTGGGCACTGAACAAACATTTCCAGCTGATCTCACATTACCTGCAATTTCAAAACAGTTCAGACAGTTTAAGGAAACAAAACTTGAGTGTATCCGATGTCTGTAAAATATCTTTTGATTTCATCTGAAGTAGTTTGGACACTCTTGGACTACGAGATTCCAGGCCTCCTTGAAGGCATCGACCACCCTCTGATCCAGAGGGCCCTCATCGGCTGCAGCCAAGTTTTGCTGAAGTTGCTCCATGTTTGACATGCCAATGATGACTCCATCTCCAAGATCACCCTGGACACAGCGTGTCAGAGGATAAGCAGTCAACTCTTTAGATTTATAGTGAAAAAACAGCTGCGCACACGAGTTATGACATTTAACAGCACATTGAGATGTAGCGACATCTAGTGGTGAAATACAGATTACAACTAAATGGAACAGCCTCAAACCTTTGCAGCATATATGTATATATATATATATA